ATTTTTTTTAGAAAATGTTAATCATGAAGGTTGTATATTGTTAACTATACCACGCATCAAATGTTGATAATGAACTTGTCCATGGTTATCATAAGTCTATTACTCCACGTTCTGTTTTGAAAGTTGACAAACCTATAGGTCTCCACCTTAGATTTCCGCACAAGAGATGGCAAGCCCAAATATTGATATGTCGCACCGATTGCCCTGACTCTTAAAATTGACCCTAGCTGCTCAGCCTCTATGGGCAAAATGTTACGACTAAAGTAGACTGACGGTTTGTCCAGGTTAACTTTTTGCCCACTCAGCGTCTCGTATTTGGACAGAATCCCCATTAAACTTGTACACTCTCGGGCTGAGGCTCTAAAGAACAGGTAAGAATCATCAACAAAGAAAAAGTGAGAAATCATCAGGCATCGAGGACTAATGTGAATCCCCTGAAGAGTTTTTGTCTGTAAAGCTTGACGAATTAAAGCAGCAAAACCCTCCGAACAAACCGCGAAAAGCTGAGGGGACAAAGGATCCCCTTGATGCAGTCCTCGAGTTGTCTGGAAGTACCCATTAGGCCTACTATTCATCATCACATTAAAGGTTGAAGACGACACACAACCCTAAGCCAATTTAACCATTGCGCACAAAATCCAACTTTTTCAAGCAATGCAAATAAAAAAGGTCATTCAACCCTGTCGTATGCCTTCTCCATGTCAACCTTTAGAGCCATTTTTCTTAGGCTTTATGAATGCCTAATAATTGCCTGCCTAGTACCTAGGCAATGTGTTTTGTCACTACCCAGTGTCGTCTAGGAGGAGGCCGGATCTGGTGACTAGGGGGGTGCTTAGTTATTACTTGGCTAAGCCCCTCCCAGCCCTTAGATCTGGACACACCAATTTGATGGTTAAAATGTGGGAAGGGCTTTTTAATTAATGACAGGGGTTGTTTGGGTATTATGAAAAATTACGAAGTATACAAACCAGACTTACAAACAATACAAACCATATAAACATATGAACAATACAAACTAGAGAGATAAAACCTACAAACAAATTTACAAATAGTATGAAACGTATGAACTACACAAACAATACAAACTAGACCGACAAACATTACAAAACATACTAACAGTACAAAATGCCACTACTTACAATACAAAACAGTAAACTTGTATTACAATAAATATAAAGTATACAAATCACAACATGAAGTATACAAACTCGACAAACAAACATTACAAATTACAATGTATACAAATTTGTCATATAAACATTACAAACATAATAGATAAAAATAACAAACTAGAATGATAAACGATACAAACCGAATTGATACAAAATCACAAAACATACTTACAAACACTACAAAATCGCCCGACAAACATAACAAAACAAACGTTGTCGCGGAAATAATTCCCATCACCGGAAAATCGTCTTCGCCGCCGCCGGAAAATTCACCGATGACGAAATCTCTCTCTCTCTCTCTCGCCAAAAATAACCCCTGGGAGGATTTCCCCACTACCCACCGGAGTTACCAGAAAATGTCGCCAGAGTTCAGGATCGTCTTCGCCGCCGCCGAAAACTTCGCCGATGACGAAATCGCTCTCTCTCTCTCTCTCTCGTCAAAATGAACCTCTGGGAGGATTTCCCCACTACCCACCGTAGTTACCAGAAAATGTCGTCGGATTTCCAGGACGTATGGTCGTGGAAGGGAAGGGACGCGGATTGAAAATTTTTATAATGTTTAAGGGTATTAAGCAAGTTTGGTCACTGAGCTTCTAAAAACGTTCATGTCTGGTCACTACAAGTATTTAATTCCATTCATAGTCACTAAAATTAGTTCAATAGTTCAAGTTTCGTCATTCTCAGTTAGTCTCCGTTAACTTTAGCATACGTGGTAGACAACTCTCATAGTTGACTGTTAAATATGCGACATGTCAATTAAAAATTATTTTTTATTTATTTTCCATGTCAGCACAATTATTAAAAATAAAGTATAATTCTTTTAATTTTCCGCCGTCATCGGATTCGAAAATGGAGGTGACCTATTTCCCTCACCTCAAAACCCCACGAGTTCAAGGACTAGGGAAATTGTTGAGCAGATGCTCGTGCTTAACAGGGACCCTAGAGAGGGGATGCATCAGGCGCCGCTCAGCGACCCAATGCGCGAATCTCTTCGGTCTTCATCAGCCACTGGCCGAGATGCTGCGGTGACGAGTCTTGAACCCACTATTCCCAGATAAATTCACAAAATTTTGCTCCACACAAGATCGCCAAATCAAACCCCCCATTGTATTCAGAAGCGTTTCTATATCTACCGGAACAGCAAAGACCACAGTACAACGGATAAGAGAATGGCGAAAAGAAGCCAATGGTTGGCTAGACTCCAGAGTGTGATTGGAAGCCAGCGGATAGAAAGGAGGACGCGGTTGTGGAGCCAATTGGTGAAGACAAAGGCTGCGATGAGATTGGGATCCGACTACTGGAGGCGGACGGGCCAAATTGAGATCGGTTAAAGGAATTATTATTTTGTTTTTAATAACTGTATTGAGATGGAAAATAATAAAAAATTATTATTATTTCTTAATTGCCATGTCACATAGTTAATAGTCAAGTATGACAATTGACTACCACGTAAGTTAAAGTTAACGAGACTAACGGAGAGTGACCAAACTTGAGCTATTTAACTAATTTTAGTGATCATGAATTGAATTAAATATTTATAGTGATCAAATGTGAATGTTTTTAGTAAACCTAGTGACCAAACTTGCAATTTACCCCATTGTTTAATAAATAAAAATATAAAAATCTTGTAATTACCACACTACCCTTTATTAAATTGGATTAATTAGAATCATTGGATTTTAATGAGATAATAGGGCTGAGATTTACTTAGTCATGTGGCTAACAGACCCCCCTAATCACGAGATCTTAGCCCATCTAGAAGTAGGCGGAATAACCCTGGTCTTCATAGACAAAACTCAATTGAAGATTAAAAAAGAAAAATTCTAAATGAATATAATTAATTAAAGGCAAAATATGTTTGTATAGCCAAAACTTTCGCGTTTGTGCCAATAATAGCCAAATTTGGAGAAATACCACTTATAGCCACTTCCGTCCAATTCTTTAACGGTGTCATCTAACAAGCTGACTGGACTAACAGAAACACTGACATGGCGACGTTTCGTTAGTAACATTGCCACATGTACTTAACTTTAAAAAATACAAAAGAAAAAAGAAAAAAAATTATATTTTCTCTTTCCCCTCTCTATTCTTTCCCCTTTTGTTCCCCGCTGCTCCCGTTCGACCAATCGTCTTCTTCAGTTCAAAATTCCCCAGCCGCTTTTCTTCTATCACCGGTTAGGGACTCTAGCAGAGGCAGCTAGCAAGGCAACCAAATCTGCCTCTGCTGCTTCCAAATCTACAAATACTTACTTCTATTGCATCATTAGCGACTTGAATAGCAACCCCAGTAAGAGGAAAGTGCCAAAAGAGGGCTCTGATTTTAACCCCAGTTGTAGATCTTGATCCTTGTATTGAGTCTCCGCGAGCTGGGTTGACGAAGAAGGTAGGCGATCTCTATTAGGGGGGGGGGGGAGGGCAAGATTTCTTATCTAAAAGCAATGTTCAGAAAGCGATTGTGGCCGATGGATAAATAACTGAGCGCTGGCAATGGTATGCCCGTCGAGAAAAAAGAAATCGAGATCCAAATCTCGTCGTTAGTTTCAGAGGATCGGGTAACTTGGCGGATTCTTGGCAATGGCCGGCGACAGCTCGGGTAAAGGGCGAAGAGGTGTGAAAGAAGTTTTGGATCTGGGATTTTTGGGGAAATGGATTTCAATTTAGGGTTTGGGGTTCTACGAAATGGGATTTTTGTTGGTGAAAAACAAAGAGTGACAAAGGGGTTGGGATGGCGATGACAATCGGCGAAATGGTTTGGGGCCCAAAAGCTGTAAAATGGAGAATAAAACAAAAAGTGGATGAAGAGATTTTGTACTGGTTGTGGGGTGACGGAGAAGCAAAGCTGCCGCGGTGACCTACTTGGCGGAGGTGGAAGAGGAGCAAGGGCGGCGACGAAGTTGCATGTTGAGAGGGATAAACCGATGCAATCTGGTGTATTGTGGGGATAAGAGGAGGTCGGGGAGGCATGGTAGTCTGTCGGCGGGAGGCATAGAGTTTCTTCGGAAGACATGATGATACTAACAAAATCGGCGAGAATTGGGAATATCAGAGATATGTGACTGGAGAAGAGAGGGCGTTAGGGAGATGAAGAAGTTTGGGGAAATTAAAGTAAATCTTTTCTTAATTTATGACATGTAATTATTAAATAAATTTTAATTGTGACATCTCACTTTCGTCTTATTTGGCGCTGATGTGTGAGCTAAGTTGGCTCTAAATCAGCAAACCGTCAAAAAAGTTAACGGTGTTAATGACACCATCAAAGTATCTAACGGAAATGACTATATTAGTCCAACACCTTTTACAAAATCTGGCTATAAATGATATTTTTTCAAATTTGACTATTATTGGCACAAACGCGAAAGTTTTGACTATACAAGTATATTTTGCGTTAAGTAAAATATAAATCTAATTATTCCGTCGGACGGGATCGGTTAAATTAAATAGTAGAGTGTAAGTTTAAAAAGGCGACGATCGACCGCATAACATTATCCTAAATTAACTGAAGGCTGAAGGCCTTGTCAAAAAAAAAAAAAAAAAGAACAGAAGGCTGAAGGCAATCACAAAAGACAAAATAGATGCGTGGCTCCGCTCGGCTCCCAACTACAAAATACATCTGCTTTCTTAGGGAGAGCAGAATAAAGGAAGTAACAAGTATTGTAATCTAGTACTCATACGTGCGGATCGGACAACGTTTGTTGTTATATAGAACAAAACAATATCAGGGTTGAAGAAGAAGTAAGGAAGGAATGTGGTTCAAGCTAGATCCCATTGATTTGGGACACAGTAACTTGAATTTGAAGAAGAAATGAAAGTTTGGAATGAGTGGTGTGGCTAGAAGGGCTTTTGATTCTCACAATCCAAGTTGGAGCCGACATCCACGTTAAGCAAGTTGGCGTATCTTCGGAAGAAAGCGATCCTGCTGTTGGGGCGGCCACATTCCAGGCCGCCGTTGATGATGTTTGTGACGAGCCCGAAACCGGCGGTCCGGTTGGAGTCCAGATCGGTCCGTTTGGGGCTGTATCTCCCAACCATCACATCGTGGCAGGACGGCTTCCGTCTTGAAGGCAATCACCGAGTTGTTGGCAACCAATTCTGGGTTCCGCAGCCCATCAAAACCCAAGGCCTTCCCGGCCTGCCCATAATTGTGCCAAATAATTATTAATTGCTAGACCCATCGAGAGTAACTAATATCTGACCCTAGCACTCTTACCATGAGAGTTGGATAGGACCTCTTCCTTCATAGGACTTGCCGGGGAAGCAAGGCCATTCCTCGTTGGCGGCGTCGCAGTAGTCGCTTTGTGGGCTCACCTCCTCTTTAAAGCACAGTCCCCACGCGTAAGGCCCGTCGGGAGCGGTGGCCCACTGACACGCCAAAACACAACACCAAACTGCGACCAAGTGTAATCGCAGTCCGGGAATGTAGTAACAGGCAAGTTATATTATCAACCCGGGGTCTAGATCTACTGCTTACTCCGTGATTCTCTATTATCTAGCAAACTAGTTCGAATGATTGTTGTTTAAGCAAAAGCAGTAAGAAAGCAGGAAATGGTTCGGTTTTCAAAAGCAGTTAAGAGTCACTCGGGATTGAGTCCCCCTAGCCCCTTAGTTAGGTTCAATTGTAATTCCCTGGGTTGATTTACTGTTGATTAGACTGCGGAAGATCCGACAGTAGCTTGGAATCTCTTAAGCTGACCAAGCCCTCTCAGTCTAACTACCCGGCAGACGACTAGTCTTCACCGGGATAGAAAGCTGAGGCTATGAACACAGAACTCCACTACTGGCGCCAAGAACACCAGTACAAAGCAGTAAACTGGCTAACTCTCGTATAGCCAATCTCCTACTATCGAATGAAGAGGCTCTAACAACCTAATCAGATTCTATCTATCTCAGGTTGAAGCAGAAATTGAAACAAGCTGATCAGACTCAAATCAATTCATGAAACATGCGTCATTCGATTAAAATCAAACAATAATATCATCCCAAGTCATTACAATCAAAACCCTAACATCAGGAACTAGGGTTCTTCATACCCAAGTGAGAGAAGGGTTCTACTCCATAGAGAGAGAAGAGAAAACAAGAATCGGATTAGTCATACTCATAACGATGAGGATAATCTGCTCCGGGACGATGATGTTCACTCCTATGGCGATCTCCAGGCTCGATTCGATGAAATCCAGCTCCAAGATAGCTTCTAGGATGAGTTCTTCGCACTTTCTCTCTCTAGGGCTCTGTTTTTGCTCTGAAAACACGATTTTCCCTCTTTTGGCTCGGATTAGGCATTAAAACCGGTCTCCCCGAGTTGCACGGGCAGGTGCACGGCCGTGCACCACCCCATTCTGGCCGTGCAACATCAAACGCACCGTTTTATTTATTAAGCTCAGCCTTCTTGCACGGCCAGGCGCACGGCCGTGCAAGCCTGGATTGTGCCCGTGCAAGCTCTCGTCGTGAGGCGCACGGCCAAATGGCACTAGTGCACGGCCGTGCAGCCCCCTGGTCTGGCCGTGCACTCCTCCAAAAGCTCGCCCTCCGTCCGTTCTTCATCCAATCGACCCCAGACTCGCTCCTAAGCCTTCATTCACGTACTAGGACCTGAAATAACACAACCAAGCACAACCTAGCGTGAAATCGGCCTAAAACACGAGAATCAACACCTCAAACGGTGTTAGTATGAGGGTAAAAACATGTGTAAATGACGGTCTATCAAACTCCCCCACACTTAACCGTTTGCTTGTCCCCAAGCAAACCAAGTCAGACACTAGGTAAGCTTACATATTTCAATCAACCAACATTGGGGACAAGTCATAAAGGCACAAAACACGTGAATCGCACTGGTTTTCAAACATCAACACATGCACAACCTCAACAACAACCTGGACAACCACCACAAAGGACATTCGAGTGCAGCAAATCGAGTAAAGGAAGAGTCTCCCTCCTGTTCACTGGCCAACCTAGACTTGATTCAACCACTTACTCAAAACAGTCAACTCATGCATCCAACTCAAAACATCAGAATAGAGACCGAGCAATCTAGGTCCTCACCGGGGTACAAGAGCATATAGAAAATGAAAATGAATCACTCACTCTCGACCAGTGGGGTCAGGACAATTTGATGCGAAAGATGCGCATGCTATTTCTCTCAATCCTATCATCTCTTCACCATGATGGCAGCCTCTAAATGCTAGAGTTCACATATGGGGTGTCACCACTAACTAATCAGGAGGTCTTAGACACAGGTTCAAATGACTGGCTAGGGTCTTGGACATGGGGAAAAGGCCTTTTAGGTGGTGGAAGTATTCATAGCAAAAGGTTCCACATTTTCCAAACACACAAACACAGTCAACAACCCGGTATTTTCTTTCTGCTATCCTGCATTACTCAATATCTTAAGAGCACAAGAGCGAAGGAGGCATAAACATCAGCATTTCCAAGCCAGACTGCTAAGAAACACTACTTACTGGGCATTATTCAGATTTTTGGTAGTGGCTCTCTTTTGCTTTCAATTTTTCTTTGTTTTTCTTTTATTTTTCTTTTCATTTCTTAAGAGAGCCACCACTTCTGCATAAATTTCAAACACATGCCCAACTGTTAAGCACTACCTCCAACACTCATATAGACTTTAGCAGAAACAGCAGAATATATATAAACCACTCTGTGGAACCTTCTAAAAGATGCAACAAGGGTGATTTTCTCATTATAGACCAAAAGAAAGGATAACACACGGCTCAAAGGGGCTGACTAGGGGATATGACACATCAGGACAGTCAGTTTTGGGCGTGGGCTAATCCTATGCCCCCATCATCTTAACTAGTGACAACGTGAATGCTACACATCATGGAAGAGGGATCTATCGCACAAGAAAGAAACGAGCAGGCTCAAATCTCACATGGCTACCTATATGCTCTATCTCACATTCTGATACCCTGAACTAGATGCATAAACGACTGTCAAGAACAAGTAATCAGATCAAGTCAGATCAAGTCACAGTTGGCAAGCAAACAGTTGAAAAACTGAACCCCTACATCGCTCTACTGCACATCGCAGTCCTCATCATAGGTTGTCCTAGTCGCAAACAAGTTGTCATGCATTAATCCGAAAACCAATCAATTCATCCATCAAAACACAGTGCCAATATGATCAAACAGCAGTACTTGGAGCCCTCAAATCGTAAGATTCGGACAGTGGACTAGGCTCCAAGCACCATCAAAAATATTCCAACCGATACAAAACATCAACTCCCCCATACTTAAGCACGACATTGCCCTCAATGGAGTAGAGGGAAAGATAAGGGGAACGATGTTACCGGGTAAGAACACTGCTGGGGGACTGGAAGTGGACCAGTCAGCGAGAAGCGAACGGGGAAGTGGTCAATACTGCACAAATCGAACATCAGAACACTAGCACACTGGTGTTAGGGATAAGTGTTAGCCCAGACGGCTACATCAAACCACAAATGAAAAACCAAAAACAAAAAACAACCGACACTAAGTCCAAGCTCCGCACACATGGAGCAAACACTCAAAAGTCTAAAAAAAAAAACAAAAACAAATACACTGAGACGGGCAACGAGTACAGCCTACTCGTCGCCAAGATCGGTGAAGTCGATGTCATCCATGAATGCATCATCACCGGCAGCGCCAACCGCGCCGTCATGTGGAGGGGAGTCATCCCAGGGAGTCCTCCAGACCGGCGGATCGCCCGGAACCAGCTGAAGCAGGTGCCTCGGCTGCACGGGCAGGGGCGCACGGCCGTGCACCTGGGCGTTTTGCCGTGCAAGGCTGCACGGCCTGGCCGAGAGAGTGGCACGGCCGTGCACAAGGTGCTTTTGGCCGTGCAATTTGGTGCGAGAGCTCGCACGGCCTGGCCGAGGATGTGCACGGCCGTGCACAATGCACTTTTGGCCGTGCAACTTGCGACGAGAGCGTGCACGGCCAGGCTAGCCAAGGCGCACGGCCGTGCAAGCTGATTTTCTGGCCGTGCACCTTGCTGGGGTCCCGAAATCAACCTGTTTTCACTCAAAAACGACACGTAACTCCAGATCAACGTCTCAAGACTCAAAAACACACAAAATCAAAGAAAAAAGAGTAAGAAAATGCAAACCTCGGTGGGGTTGCCTCCCCACAAGCGCTTCTTTACCGTCTTTTAGCTGGACGCCAGTATGGACGCTCAGGGAAGTGTAAGATCAGGTGCCCTCAAGAGCGGATCCACTTCGCTCTTGAGGTACAGCTTCAAATGGTGGCCATGTACACGACGAATGTGGCCACCTGCATTTGCCAGCTCGACTTGGCCATCCGGTAGGATGCAAGCGAGTGAATACTCGGATGGCCAAGGTGGGGGCGGGACCAGCTCATAGTGGTCTCCGGCTTTCTTGCGAGCAGGCTTAGCTGCCTGCAGTTTCGGCCGCCACTCCTCCTTGACCTGTTCTTTGGATGATGGAGTGGTCCGGAACGGCGGCGAAGATGTGAGAGGCGGGTCCTGCAAAACAGGCAGCACAGAAGGATACACGACAGACTCGTGCTCCTGGTGAGATACAGCATGCAGAGGTAACGAATCAGATATAGTGTTAGCAACAGAAAATGTTATTCGCTCCTCGCCATCCCTCAGAACTAAGGTCCCATCATGCACATCTATGAGAGCCTTGGCGGTGGCCAGGAAAGGCCTTCCCAGTATAAGAGGCACTTCTGTGTCCTCACTGATGTCCAGGATAACAAAATCCACAGGATATGTGAATTTGCCAACCTTGACCAGAAGGTCTTCCACTATACCCCTAGGATGCACTACCGATCTGTCAGCTAATTGAAGGGTCATCCTAGTAGCACGGGGTTCACCTAGGCCTAGTTTCATGAACAATTTATATGGAATAACATTGATACTAGCACCTAAATCCGCCAAGGACTTCTCTACATGCAATTTACCGATAGAGCACGGGATAGTGAAACTACCTGGGTCCTTTTTCTTCTGCGGCAGCTTGTTCTGCAGAATAGCCGAGCACTCCTCGCTGAGCTCCACAATGGCCAGCTCACTCAGCTTCTGCT